ACAAAGAGAAGGGGGAGAGGTTGACCCGTACGAGTTTTTCTCATCCTGATGATGTCCTCCATCAGGGTTATGCCAGATTCTTCAAGTAGTTCTTTGACATCTGTTATTTCGGTGTCAAGAGAGACATTCTTTATGACAAACTTCAAGGGGTTTGTCTTGGTGTGCGGGGCATGGGCAGTGCCCATATTGGATGGCAATTTGTCAATGAGTCTTTCGGCATCTTGTTGGTTGGGAACGTCCAAGACGTATCCCGTTCTTGTTTTTCTTATGTTGGTGATCTCTATGCCTTTGGGCACAGAGAGGAGGGTTCCGACAAAGGCTATAGGATTGCGGAACTTTTCCGGTACCGCCTCTATAAACAAGGGGGTCCGGAAAGGGTCCCGCACTGGTCTCTTGTTCCGTGTAGGATTTTGAGGGGGACTGGCATCGGTGTTGAGCCTGTGTCTGGAGGTGACCTCCGTGAAAGGAGCAGGGTCGTTGTCCTCGTTGAGCGGGACTTCTATCACGCCCTCCCTAGTCAGGATCGCAGCTGTCTGCGCCGTAGTATCAGGGGAAAGAGTTGTCAAAGTAACTTGTGGATCAGGTGTTTGGGGTCTTGAGGAATCCACAATATCTATTGACATCGGTTATGTTGCTAAGGGCGATGTCTCTGAGTTAGCTGCTGGAGTTAAAAGAGAGTTTGTTGATCTCTCAGGGGTCGGTGGCCTTTATTTCCTTGAGGGAGGAGGCGGTGTGCTTTTATTGCGCGGAAGTGTGTCCCGGTCCCTGGACCCATGAATCAAGGATTGGTTGGAGGGGAACACAGCGTGGGAAAAGAACGAAGGAAACAGAAAGGGAGAAAAAGAGAAGTGAGAAAATCAGCCTTAAAAGCGGTGATTCCTTGTGGGATTAGGATAGTTTGGAGGAATAAGATCAAAACGTGTCAGAAGGAGTCAGACGAAGAATCAAAAGAGTCGGAAGTATGTGAGATGGAATGATGAGGGAAGGGAATCCGTATTGAGTGAAATGAGAGACTGAGAGGAATGCAGGAAAACCAGAGAGGGCAAGAGGGAAAACTAAATTATAGCGGTAGGATATAGAGAATGAGAGAAAGGCAGAGACGACTTGAGAAGGGGCAGAATGGAAAAGTATTGAAGTCAGACTGAAGAGGTGCGTGAGACTGAAGCGTGGGATGAGAAGAGTGTGCGAGGGAAAGCAAGGGATGAGCGAGTTGAGGGGGAGGGAGTGATGAAGAGTGTGAAGAAGAGTTGACTAGAGGTGGAAGAACCAGAAAGAAGTCGCAAAAAAAAGAAAGTTGAGTTTTTGTAATGGGAAATATACCAGAATAGGTGTTGGGAAAGCCTCGAAAAAGGCTCTTCTAGCTACCGAGGGATTTATCCACTCCAGTTAGGACTTGAGAAGTCAGCGGACTTATGACGAGCTGCTCCTAAAGCTTTTATGAAGGTGGTGTGTTCGCTGGGACTATCATAGGGAATATGAGCTTGATTATTACCTGGACTCCATGATTCTGTCTCGAATATGCTGATAACAAATGATGAATTGTCGATTTTATTGATTGCTATAATGAGACTAGGCGAGACATATAGCGAGGTACTAAACACTCCTGTGAAGGACGATCACAGGGAAAGAGGGAAGGGTACTTCTGTGTACTCTGAGAAAAGCGAGACCTATTCCTCCATCTAGTGGCCTGAAGGATAACTTCAAGTGCGGTCGGGCACATTGGATCACCGCATCGGTCCAATATTGAATAAATAATGATATAGCAATATCGGAATTGGCATTTGTTTCCCAAACATTAAACCAATATTGGCAAAATTGCCAAAGATCTAGCCAACGTACCCAATGTCGGTCCAGCATTGGGCCAATATCGGGTGCTACTGTACTAGGGGTTAGGCGTGTCCCGCTGCCCCAAGTTGGGCCAACGTCAAATGCCGACGCGATATTCAAGGAATTAAAGGAGATTTCGATTGAGACTGAATTTCCGTACATAATCGTTCAGCTCCCATACCGGGGACCTGACCACCGAGTCTCTCGGTCTGGGTGGACGTACTCCAAGGAGTAGTACTTCCTTCACTTTCCATAACATGATTTGAGCCCCATTAGGTCCTTCATCCATTATGGAAGAGAGCTTGTCCCGTAGAACTCGGATGATCAGACCTTTCGTCGCACTCGAACCTCCTCGAGGGGAACCAGATGCAGGTTTTACCAGAAAAGGAAGTGATCTCATCCTCTCTATATCTAGTGAAGCCCCAATTTGAATCATGTTTCCTCCACCATTAACAAGAGTCTGTTTGGACTGCCTAACCTGTTTAAACGAATGAACTGAGAAATTGGAGTGTCTTATTTTACATTCTCTATGGAAATGGATCAAGTACCGAAAGAAAGGTACTGGGATCTTAAATTAATGAATCACTCCCTGATCCCACTAAAATAGCGGCCTCATAACTGCCATCTCGTATATGCTGTGAGTAGCTTTTTGTTCAAGTAACTGAGATAGATGTCGCATCCTGAGTCATAACAAATGTTGGCTGCCGCCTTGGTGTGGAGTGACAATTGGCAAGAAGTGTTACGCTAATTATGACTCTTTCTCGGTAGTTCATTCCAAAGTATCTTTCGCCCACAGTAATGTAAGAAACTGCTCAGAAGGAGCAGATAAATCGATTGATACCATATACGGCACCAAAAATAATGCACGTGACCTTTGAATCACCCTGCATGTCATCATGGGTAAAGCTAGACCTCACTAACGAGTCTCGGGCTCAGCTGATTTTCCTAACGCTCACGTGAAATTTCTACCTACATATTCACTTTTCTTGAATCCGACAGAGAGTGTCTACTCTCCATTTGAGGCAGCTGTCAAACGTGAGCTGCACCTTCCTGAAACACAGATAGACCTCGTACGACGAAGACCAGAAACAAAACTTACTGCAAAGTTGGGCAGAGAAGCTATATTAGGAGAGGCAGTTAAATCACAGCTAGAGGCAGCAGCTGGGCAAATAACCCATTAGAAGTACCTTGCATGGTCGTGTTGGTTGTGCACTGCAAAAAAAAAAAAAACTCAAAAGGTTTTCGAAACCGAGGCCTCATGAGGCCTAGATCTTCATGAGGACGTTTTGCTATGAACCACAAAATCCTCATGGAAGGAAATCCTCATACCTCGTTTATTACCTCATGAGGATCGTAACAGGAGGATTGACTAGTGAGATATTCAGCGAATCTCAAGAAAAAGTAATGAGGTCTCGTGAGACCTCATAAGTTCGTGGTGAAGTTTTAACAGCAGGGGCCTCCAAAATCGTGCAGTGTCACAATTGTTCCATGGACAAGAAAATCTTTATTCTCATCTTCCGCGATGTTTGTAAATGGCCGCGGAGAAAACTGTCGACTAAAGGGTTAAGGGAATTCAGTTATATTAAGAAAATGTGGAGTAGTATTGAAGGGAATTTAATGCTGTTTATCACATCTATTAGGGGATAAACCTTAGCTGTGCCAATGTCCTGATTCAACCGTATTGTCATAGCTAAACGCAGTTCGTAAGTTTTTACAGATTGATTTATTAAGGTAAGATATGGTCCAATACATTGGGGATTGGTATTTACATGATTGAAATAGCTTGTATTGTTGGGCATTTCATTTATGTTTCCTTTCTCCAGCGAAATCATAAAATGGTTGAGTCTTAGATAACAATCCCGTTTAACGACTTGGAGCGTTAATGCCATCAAAAGCACGTTCAATTTCTAAAGAAGTTGATGCCGGACAGTGTAACCAGAAATGAAGATGCAATTGGAGTTGGCGAGTTGGGTTTTCCGCAGACATGCGGGAAAAAGATGCTTCATCCCTTTCAATGCTCAGCGTAACGGCAGAGATTGCGCCAGTGAGATTCGCCTTTTTCTCTGACTGCTCGCCACCTATTGACAATTAATAGAACTATTGTTTGGATTTTTCTTCTCTAGATGTCGGGAATATGTACAGTACTTGTATAGATCAAAGCAGCACTCCCCCAATCCCGCATCTTCAGAGAAGGAAAGCACCAACTCAAGGTGAGAAATTTCATCGATCAAGCCAAATGTGTTTGGAATGTGCTCTCAAGGAACAGAAGCAACTAGGTGGAGCGATTATTCACCGTGCTTAGCCAAATCCTCAGAGTTCATTTAAAGTATATGGCTCCTTTAGAATATCTAATGTTGCAAGCAGCCTTCCAGAATCTTGATATGCTTCTTTTTGTTTACCAGAAATCGTACTTAACCAAAATTTCAAGGAATGTATTGCGCTATTGTATGGTTCCAATCTCCCACAACCACGATTCAAATAAAATCTTGACTCAAATGAAATGTTTGCGTCCAGTGTGTAGCATTTTCCTCTGCAAAGACGGAAAAATCTCGAGGGCTCCAAAGAAGACTCGTCCACACTCGAAAAGAAAACACAACAAAAATCCGTTGTATGCGGCGCTGATAAGACCCCAATTAGAATATTGCATCCAGTTTTGGAGGCCTACAAATAAGGGCGCTGAACAGTAAGTAACACACTGAATTTGAGTCCTTCAAAAAATGAAAAACCCCACAAAATATAAGCAGAGCCCAAAGGTAAGACTGCATCATTCTAGCGAGTTTTCGATTCTTTGGACTCGGGGCTGAGTTTCTAGGAAAGATCTCAAATTGTAGGAAATTTCACGCTGAAAAGAGGAAATAGCTTCGCAATATTTATAGATACCACATAATTCTACATAGGATGGCAAAATTAACGAAATCGCCTCTTGATATCACTAACTATCTTGAATCTTGAAAAGGAGAAATGAAACCTTATGAAATTGCCAATAATGGTGATATCGCGTGAAGAAGACTCACCGTCATCGAGAGAAAGCACGATGGAGATAAGGATATCTCTTTTTCCATTTGTCCATTTTGTCCAAATCACGAAGAAAGAGCAGAGTGGAAAATGAGCATGCAATAACGGGGCAAAGAGGATGATGCCTTCCGAGCTTCAATTCCTCCTTCATTGGTCGGCTATAAAATGAAATAGGGAAAAGAGTTTCATGGTCTTCGAGGAAAATGTTTGATTTCGATGTATCCCTATGAAATCATTCATGATGCGTCATGTGGTTTTATAGTGGATTAAGGCAAACGTCAATTAACTGATGCTAATTCTATTCATTTTGAAATACATTTTGAAATGAGAACCTTAGGAAAAAAAATCAATGAACATGTTTGACCTTCATCGGAGGAACGTCCCAGATAATGGGTGGTATTTCATTTCATTTCATTTCAATGGAACAAGCGAACAATATCATGCAAGGTGCCCCCAACAATGTGATTATCGGCCAAATGACCCTTAAAATGAATATACTTTAAACTTCTATTTACGTTTCCTTTGGGAAATGTTGGCAAGATGAAGGCATTGACGATCGATCCTTTGCAGAAACGAGGTGCGACTAACCTTTGAGGAATGAAGGAGTTGACTTGTACCTGCAAAGCGAGACTCGTCCAGTTCAGTAGAATCACTTTGGATATGCACTTTAGAAATGTTCTGTTCTTACTCAGAGGTAGCGATGTTTCCCTCTTCAGATCTCCAAAACCAGAATGGATAACGAATAACCAATGAGCTGCAAGCAAAGTTAATCCGATTTGGCTGTCGAGGAGAAATAAAGAAGGTGATAAATGAAGTAGGTGTTAAAGTAATCGGGATATGACACTCAATATCTTTTGCGCGGTCTTTTACTACGTACCAAGTGCTGCAAAAGGGAGCCACACTAAGGATCCAACACGAAAAATGGGCTGCTTCCAAAGGTTCTGCATTCCCGGAAGAGGGCATGGATAGCGTGGGAAAACAATTCGAAAAGGTATTGGGAAAAGCTAAGTCCGCATCTGTATTCGGGACCAATACCAGAACTCAAAAAGGGCCTGGGCCTCACTCCTTTTCCTCCCTCCGTTGTTTCAGTAACATCCTTGGTTCCAATCTCTTGCTGCGACGAATATGGTTGCCACTGTTCGTTGTTTTCCTGATGGTTCGAAAACTCGCTAGAATGATGCAGTCTTACCTTTGGGCTCTGCTTATATTTTGTGGGGTTTTTCATTTTTTGAAGGCCTCAAATTCAGTGTGTTACTTACTGTTCAGCGTCCATTTTTTTATACATTGGTGAAGTAGCTGACTTCGAGGCACTCATCGACAGCAAACAGATTTGAAATTATTTGAAATCAGATAGGTTGAGTTAAAATGGTACTCAAAGAAGAACAAAGAAAATTTATGAGATTCATAGAAAATCCTCTCAATCTTCTGTAACTCTTCATACCTCAATCACACATACAGGCACATACATGCATATCCTAAGCACAAGCATTCTTGCTTCAAACACTCAGGGATCATGATTGACGAGAGGGAGGCATAACCAAGGTTATGAGATGAATACTGGTGAAGGTATTCCATCATAAACAGCAGAATAATAGAACTTTTGAACACTTGCTGAGAACATACCGTTAGGACAGGATATGTCGGGAGACCAGGTTCCATCCTGCTGGCATTTGGACAACCGGGGGACTCCGAGGCAGGTGAACAGCGATGTCACACCTGGCTGGACGTATTCATTTCCGCTCTGACATCCGAGAGGGACACACGACTCGGTGAAAGCTTCCCATGTACCATCCTGCTGACACGTCTTCCAGATTGTCTTCATCGTTCCGTCTCCAATTTTGAAGCCTTCATTCCCCGGACAAGTATATGAAGCGTTGCTTCCAACGGTCTTGCTCCTGAATAGCATGATGATCCCGTTTTCAGGCGAATCTGGAGCTTTCGTGCATTCTTGCACATTTCCGACACAAGATTCGGTAAAAGCTTCCCATGTCCCATCCGATTTGCACTTTTTCTCCAAAGATGTTTGCTTCATTCCACTGGTCCCCTGAAACACTTGACCCTGAGGACAGGAATACGTTGCTAGGCTTCCTACCTCATTATAAGTGAACTGCACTTTTATGCCATTGCCAGGTGAAATTGGATCCGAAATGCACGCCACGACTACGCAAGGTTCAGTTACAGCTTCCCAAGTACCGTCTGCCTTGCAAGTTTTCAGCAAGTTTTGTTGGGTCCCATTCTTGATCTGAAAGGCTCGACCGGGAGGGCATGTGTAAGTAGCGATGCTTCCCACCTTCTTGCTACTGAACTGAACTAGGAAGCTGTTATTTGGGGAAATCGGATCTGCTGAACACTCCATAATCGCACCGGGAAATGATATGGCCTCTGAAGTTACTTTCAGAGTCGTCGAAGTCGCTCGAGTTGATGTGGTTGAAGTGGACGTTTTCGGAGTTGTACTGGTCACAGTGAACGTCAACGGAGCTACGAAGGTCGAAGGGGACGATGTCGAAGTTGCACTCGTTGCAGTAGAAGTTTCCGAAATGACGCAGGATTCGACAAAAGGTTCCCATGTACCATCTGATTTGCACATTTTCTTTATGGATGTTTGTTGCATTCCGCTACTATCCAGAAAAAATTCCCCCATAGGACATACATATGTAGCGATGCTTCCCACTGTCTTTTCAAGGAACTGAAGTTTGATACCATTTCTTGGTGATATTGGATCCGCCGTGCAAGCCACAATAACACAAGTTTCATTCAAAGTCTCCCATGTGCCATCAGCTTTGCAAAATTTCGTCAAGTTCTGTTGTGTCCCGTTGTTCAGTTGAAAAGCTTGACCAGAGGGGCACGTGTACGTTGCAGTGCTTCCGACATCTTTATTGGTGAACTGAAGTTGCAAGTTATTTCCGGGTGAGATTGGATCTGATGTGCAGGCCACGATCACACACGGTTCTGTCAACGATTCCCATGTGCCATTGGTCTGGCAGGTTTTCTGTAATGTTTGTTGCATACCATGACTAGTATTAAATGCCTTACCCAGAGGGCATGTGTAGGTAGCTATGTTTCCAATCAAGTTCCCAGTGAAATTCAGTTGGACATCGTTCCCTGATGAATTTGGATTTGCTGCGCATGCCACAATCACACAAGTTTCATTGAATGCTTCCCACGTTCCGTCGATCTGGCAGGTTCTAGTGAGATTTTGCCGAGTCTTATTGTTGATCTGAAAAGCTTGACCCTCTGGGCAAATGTATGTTGCTGTGCTGCCAACTTTGTTGCCATCGATTGTCAGTTGTATTCCGCTTGGGGATACAAGATCTAAAGGGCAGGTTTCATCTACACATGATTCTGTGAAGTTTTCCCAAGTTCCATTATATGTGCATGATTTTTCCAATTCTCGTCGCTTCCCATGAATTGTATTAAAGGTCTGACCTAGAGGACATGTATATGTAGCCAAGCTTCCCACACTTTTGTCAGT